TATCTATATTTATATAGAATTTTCCAAATTTTAATATTATTTTTATTATATTATTATAAAAAGTATAAATATAATTGTTAATTTATGAATAATTTAATTCAATTATCTGTCTATTCAATTATCTATATCTGTTATTCGTATCGGTTAAAAGATCTATGAATATAAGCCAAATTATATAATGCATGGAAATATTTATAAAATATTTATATATACATATATAAATATTATATATATACATATATACATATATAAATATTTAAAAAAAAATTATTTTTAAAATCTGTTAATTTTACCAACTTTTGTAATTAAATTAAATATATATTGTAAATCATAGAGGGCTATATCAAATACTTTTTTTTTTTTTTTTTGCATAATCAGTATTTTAGAAATAAAAAATCTTTATCATCTATCTTATATCTGATCTATGTAAAAATAAAAAAATTGGAAATAAATCATATCTATTTTTATAATATAAAATTTTTATAGAAATAATTACATTAACTTTTACAATTTAACTTTTAATTTATTCAAAATAATCGAAAATGACTGGAAAACAATTACGTGAGTATAAATCGTTTATATTTATTATAAATATTTATTCATTATATATGTATTAATGCAACATATTTATTTGTAAAAAATTAATTTTAATATACATTTCTAATATCTGTTTTTCTGTGATTTTTAATTTTAATATTATATTAAATTATAATAAAATATAAAATATAAATTTATATAAATTTTGAAAATAACATTTAATAACATGAGACACTAATAGGTTATAAATATTAATAAATTTTATTTTGAATTTATTATTTAAAAGAAATAATTTCTAAAAAAAATAGTAGTAAATATAAATATATTTAATATTAGTGGAAGATATTGTGACATTTTTTAGAACAAGAAATGACAAAGCATAGTTTTCGTCAAAAAATATGGGATTATTTGATGAAGAATGATTTAGTCAATTTTCCTCTTTCTGTATATGATCGTATACCAAATTTCAAAGGTGCTATAGAAGCAGCACAACGTTTAGCAAAATTGGACAATTTTAAACAGGCAAAAATTATAAAGATAAATCCAGACAAACCACAAGAACCTGTAAGATTCTTAGCATTAGTAGCTAATAAAGAAATATTAGTTCCAATTCCCAAACTAAGATCTGGTTTGTTTCTTCATATTACACCAATTGCTGGTGTTTCAAAAAATAAATTAAGAATGTTATCAAAAATACATGGTTTGACAGAAGTTGGTAAACCACTTGATATAAATTCTAAAATAAAGGTATATGTTATTTATTATGATAATATAGATTTAGTATTATTTAAATCTGTTTTCATTATTTTACATGTTATTTATTCTTAGATAGATCTTGTGATATTGGGATCTGTATGTGTTAGTCGTGATGGATATAGACTTGGTAAAGGTAAAGGATTTGCAGACCTGGAATTTGCTATGATGATGAGGATGGGTGCAGTTACACAGGATACTATAGTTATTACAACTGTGCATGATTGTCAAGTTTTTGATAGTCTTCCTCATCAAATATTTAAGGAATATGATGTACCAGTTGATATAATTGTTACACCTACTGAAACAATAATAGTAAATCCAAAATTAAAAAAACCTAATTGTATTATATGGCATATGCTTAGTGAAAGGAAAATTAAATCTATAGAGGTATTACAACAGCTAAAAGAAATGGATGAGAAGTAAATATTGAAATATAACTGATACTATACATATATAATACATGTGTGTGTGTGTGTCTGTTTATATAATATATTAAATTGTTTATGTAAAATATGTAAAATTGAATTGTTTTTAGAGAAGGAAAAATAATAACTTTAAAGGAAGAAGATTCAGATGTAGAAATAAAAAAATATTATCATTCTCATATAAAAAATAAGAAATATTTTAATACAAAGAAAGTTTTCTCAAATGTTAATGAATTGAAAAAGAAGAACAAAAGCATGTAAAAACATGTTTTCTTAAAAAGCGTAAAATTAATAAATTTAAATTTTCTGATATAGTTAAGGTAATGTCTATTTAATCAATGTATATTTAATATATATCATAATATTATTGCAATATTTTAGGTGAAAATGGAAAGTAACAATAAAAATAAGCAACAATATCATCAAAATTTGAAATCGAAGTCTAAATCCCAAGTTGAATTTTCTTTAAAATTATCCAATATTTCATCCGACGCGAGAATACGCGATTTGAAAAATGCTTTATTAAAGCGTGGTATTAAACCGAATGAAATAACTTGGTTAGGACATCGTGGTATTTGTTATCTTCATTTCAATAAACTTCAGAATAATAATTTGTCAAATCAACCAATCCAAGTTGATTCAATAATGGCAAATCTACAGCAGTTATATATTGGGGTATCTACTAATAATACAAATGATTTTATAATAGTAGAACCTGTTAAACCAATATCTAGAATTGAAATTACAGACGTGACGTCAGTTTAAAAGACAATTAATTTTTGATAATATTCAATTCATATCTTTGTATGTGAGTGTATGTCAGTAATTATTAATCTATATAAATCAATGGCAGTTTAAGTATAATTAAAGCTTTATAGAAAATGATTTATGATATATTTATGCATTTATGCATATAATGAATGAAAAATAATTGGATATTGTATTATGTATAAGTTAAGTTTGTATAATTATCATTAATTTAATATTTAATTTATAATTATATATTTTTTTACATGTTGTTAAAAAAAAATAAAAAAAAAAGATCAAATCAAATTCAAAAATAAATTTATACACAAAAAAAATATCTTCTTAATATATATTAAGAATTGCATGCATATTATTGATAAACTCATAATAATTATTAATAATTAACATTTTAAATAATATTTACTGTGATCATATAAAAAATATTTAATATTAAAGATGGTGCTCTATATACATTTGATAACGTTTACCTAATTACAGACTGATAATTCTTGTATAATTTATGAGATATAATAATAGTAAAAATTTATATTTTTAATTTATATATTAGATATTCTATTTTTCTGAAAAAACTTAAATGAGAGTAGTAAAATACGATTTTTATATTGTAATGTCTTTTAGACAAGTATTTTATCAAAAAATTGGATAATAGAGAGATATATTTAATATTAATATTAATATTTTTAATATTAATTTTTAATTTTATTTTAATATTAATTTTATTGTTTTTTGTTTAAATTATTTTGTTGTAAATTTTTTTAAATCCGTCAAATATTTGAAGTTTATTGAACTTTTTGAACGAATCAAAAATATAAACCATTTTATGGTTATGATTTTGTTTTGTTTAAATTATAGAATAGAATAGAAAGAACTTTTAATAGAATTTTAATAGAAATTATAAAATTTCGCTGAAAAGAATAATCTTTCTTGTCACTTTTTTTTTTTTCATGAAATAATATCTTTATTATTGATTATTTAATACTCTTCTCAGTTTTATCATAGTTTAATTTAAATTCTAAATATGTATTTAGGATTTTTTTTTATTAATAATCAATTATTAAATAATATCAAGATAAAGCGTTTTTTTCTTTTTGTTGATTCTTCTTGCTATTTTTTTTTTTTCAATATTTATTCTGTGCTTCGATCAATATCGATCATAGACCGATATATAAGAATAAAAATAAATTTCCTTATTTGATCATTAACAAAGAAAATTGTTATTTGTTGCAAAAGAAACAGGGACATTCGATAAATGATATTCAATTCATTTTTTCGTTTTTTAAATTACCGTTTTTTAAATTTAATTTTACATTATAACGTAGATATATTCTTTCCTTATGATTATTTATAAAATTACATTATATTCTTGGTGTTCGTCGGTTTGATTATCGAAGTAATTTTAATGTTCTTAAATAAAATTCGAAATATGTACATGAAATAATGGCAAGTAGAAAAGATGCGGTTTTTGTAAAGTTAATCATAATTTGTTAAAGGATTCAAACGATACGATTTTCATTTCGACGATTGTATTTCTATAAATCTTAAATTTTATTTGAAGTTACAAAATTTATTGGAATAAAAATTACACAAGTTTAATAACTTTCTAAGAAAAAAGTTAAGTAATATGCATCAACTATGTGAAGAATAAGTTTGTAAATACGAAGATTAAATGTGTTTTATCTCGTGTTAGTTTCAGTTTCTTTTTTTTTTTTTTTTTTTCAAAAGAAAAGTAAGATCGAGAAAGAGAAAACATCATAATTCTTTTTTCTTCTTGCTTTCGCTAAGTTTTTGGTAAAATGCTCTTTAAAAGGCTTCAGTTTGGTCGAGTTATTCTTTTTTCGTTTTTTATAAAAATAAACGATACATTTTTCTTTAAGAGAGAATGAAATATACTGTGAGATCTTAATCGATTGAGATACATGTTTTTTTTGAAAAAACGATTATTTGTAAAATTATTATTCAAAAATTTATGTTAAAATTTTCTACCGTTTAATCATAAATTTCGATTATTTTATATTTCTTAAGATTAGGGTTACGAACGTTTAAGGAATTGGACATTTCATTTCTATCGAGTGTTGTGACTATGACGGCCATATGAACAATAATTATCATCAATAATGATGATAATTAAAAAAAATTAAAGAAAAATAAAATGAATTCTCTAATATAATATGTATATCGCAGAAACGGATATTGATCGTGATGGTGATCATTTGACTAAGTAATAAAACATAAATTGCTATAATATTCATTTTGATAAATCGAATAATTCAATATTTCTTTTTTCCCATGAAAACTACAATATAAATGAAATTATTTAATGGACATTTCTTGCAGCAAATATACGTTTTATAACGCTATTTTAAACATCCGTCTCTTTTCTCTTTAGTACTCGTGTGATCACGATAATTTAAAAAAAATACAAAAAAAAAAAAAAAAGAGACGAATAAAATTTTAATTTTTAATTATTTTTCTGAATTCATGACTATTATATTAACTTCTAATAATTGCTGAAATCAAAGAAAACCGTCGATCGTCAAAAGACTAGATTCAAACTTATCACGATCGAGAATGAATTTTATAAATATTTCACTCTATAAATCGGAGAACAAATTTTAACGAAGTTCACTGTTCAAAATGTTCTTTACAGTTATATACTTCGATTTTTTTCACATAGCAAAATGTTCAGAAGGAATTTAAGATGTGGAAGGTTCGGGACTTGCATCGATATAGTCTATATCCGACGGCGTTGCACTGCTAATCCGTCTTCCTTGTCTCGGGGATGCACTTATGCGTGTCTTCACATTAGCAGTCGATACGCTCAATCGGTTTCCGGTTTGCTGTGCTGGCTGTTGCTTCGTCCTATAATTATCGAATCAAATTTCTTTATATAATAAATTCGTTCGTGAAAAAAGAAATTAATTTTAATTTTAAATTTGGTATTTAAAGAAATATTTGATAAATGTTGAAGAATAGAAATTTTTAAACTTCTCAGAAATTATGATTTTATGATTATAAGGACAGACGAAAAAAATGACACGAATCATTCTATTTTTTTCATTTCATCGAGAACGACAGAATTTTGTATCGGAAAATTATATAAATCGAACGTTTTATACACCGAAGAATATGAGACTCTTGTTGCATTTAACTATCCTATATCGTAAAAAACGAAATCAAAATAAGATATATATTATAGGATATAGGATCGTTTATATTATATTTAATATAATAAATATAAAATATAATATATTTTTGCGGCGCGAATTTTATAATTTGTTATATATATATATATACAATTACATATTATTCTCAATCGATAAATTTTCGTATATAAAGACACAAAGATCGACTAAAAACATATCATTTCATATTCAGAGACTTTATTCGACTAATTAAAAATTTATGATTTTTTTCATAGATTCATAGAGAAACAATGCTCCAGATAAAATTTTCTACAAAAGGAAATATTATATCGAAATTTCATCTGCATCTCTTTCGAAATTTCATTTGAAACTTTGAAAGAAAGAAATTATATTTTTGAAAGAAATTATTTATTATTAATCTTTTCTGTCTATACTAATTTATAATAATTTCTTTAGAAGATATGAAAAAACAATGAAACATTCAATAAAATGATAATAATTAAAATTTTTTCTTTCAATTTCATGAAAATTAAACGAGTTACAATTCATTTCTAGAAAGGAAAACGAAAAAATCTATCTATATACGATTATTTCAGGGCTACACCTACTAAAAATGCTATCTTTAATTATAAAAATTCCATTTATTTTTCTCATTAAATTCTCTCTCAGAACTAATATTAATATATAATAAATATTTCAGAATTACTTTTACTTACGATTATTTATGATTAAGAAAGAAAAAAAAGAACAATTATAGAACACAACAATAATTAAAGGAATGGTTTAACTTACTTCAGCCTTTCCTCAGCACCTTTCATGGCAGTGTTCAAATCCTCCTCCCACTGTTTCTCTTTTCTCTCCCTTTCCTTTCTTTCCATCTCGCGTTCCCGATTATACACTCGATATTCCGGAATGAATGTTAATCTTCTGAAATCGACGCTTGGTCCGGCACCTTCCACAAATCCAATCCCCATGTCTTCGGGTGGATGATCGACTTTCAACGATCTATATACAACGTATATATATTCAACGTTTCTTTTGTTAAGTGGAAAATTATAAGTGGGATCACTAATGAAAAAATCAATGGATTTTCGTTGATTTACGATTTTTGCGAATTGATTTACAAAAGTAATTTCTCAATGGTCGCTAACTCGAAAGAATTTTTATAAATTGGATGATTGGAAAAGATCGGTGATGGGAAAGTCAGATTTAACTTGGAAACGAAAGATATCTTGGAATTGGAAAGCGATTCCTATGCTTTACTTACTACTTCTTTGTTTTTATTAGAAATCTTCGACTATTCGATTTTTCATTTAAGAATCTATCTGAAGATAAGATATTTTATCCAACACGTTAATTAATTATCCATTATTTTAGGATATTTTATAATTTAGAAAGAACTTTCAATGATTATCTTGATAATAAATTATAATAGAATTTTCTTTCATGGAAACAGGGATTCTCACGGAACGATGATCGATATGACGACAGATTTAAAGAGATTCCAATAAAAACGAGAGTATTGGAAGAAAATAAAAGTTGTCTGTGTTTGATCAATATCTTCGACGTCAATTTCTTTTCAGCAAGAGGCAAGATCATACGATATAAACAAGTATTTAATAATTAACTCCATCTTCTTTGGTAGTCCGCTCACCTTTGTTTCGCAAGACGCTTCTTTTTTTTATGCAGCGGTTTCGTCTCAATAATCATTTCCTCTAGTTCGAACGTCGGATCGCAATTCAGATGATCCTTTGGCGGTGTGAACGATGGCTTGATCTGCTTGTTCAATACTTTGTCAAAGTCGAGTTCTTTCATAGCGTTCACTTGCTTCAGTTCCTTTAACGTTGATATTCGTGCGCCTGGTGCCAAGGTTAACAATTTATCCAGAAGTTCGCATATCGTGGAACTCCAGCCAGTAGGTGTCGGTCTTTCATCCTAGAGAATATATTTTTTTTTTATTATCCTTCTTCTTTTTATTATTTCAAAGACTGTAATGGAGATTAAATTATAGATATTTATCCTCGAAAGAATGTGATTTCAATATTTTCAATAATTTTGTAAGCAATCTATTTTCAAAAGATTAGAAATTTACAAAGAAGGATATTAACAGAAATGGATGAAATAAAATAAATTCTCCTTCGATGTTTCGATGTTTCGATATATATTTTAAAGGAAAGGAATATCTTGAGAAAATGATACGTTCCGTCACTAAAAAATAAATTGTAAAGAAAATATGGTTCGATATATAAGAAGTTCGAAAGAGACAATGAATAATAATGAATAAAAAGATTTTATTCATTATTTTACTTGAAGGATTTCCAAAGCTTCTCTGTATGTCGTAGTGGAACAAAGGGGATAAGGACGTTCTCCTGCGAGAGTTTCCCAAGCAAGAATTCCTAGACTCCACCAGTCTACGGCATAACTGTAGCCAAGAGTACAATATTCCGACAAGTAGCACATGTAGATTTCTGGAGCTATATCAGAATAATGTTCGATAAAAGTTTAATGGGAGTGACTAACTTTCTTGAATAAGAATATTAAAAACGAATAACGATATAGTAATTATAAAACGAAGAACATAAATCTTTAGTGCAGATTTATGTTACACGATTTAAATTTCTTCATTTCACACTTATTATTTATTTTCTATCTTCGTTTTATCAACATATTTATCAACATATTTACACATTCATTGATTTTGGAATCGTTTGATGTCTCTCGATCATGCATTATTCATAGAACTCGAAACGATAATAATTTAATGGCTTTATATCAATTGACCGTATCAATGTAGCGATCAAAATATAATTAATTCATACCTATGTATGGTTTTGTTCCTGACATCGACGAAGCTAATTCTCCACCTTTCAGCACGGTTGCGATGTTGAAATCTGTCACATGCGCGTGTCCTAAACAGAACATAAACTTATATAATATAATATATCGCACTTTTATTTATTTAATCGTCTCTGTATTTGTTATTTACAAACATCACAAGAGAAAAATACTTGATTCGAATTTACTAAATTATCATCATCGTTCTTTTATCCAATTTCATTTTTTTCTTCTTTTTTTTTTTTATGCTTGCACAATAATGAATACGAATTCAATTAATCGTCAGCTGGTGATCGTTATGTATCATATGTATAATGTGACGCAAACGATGTCACATGCGTGATTCAGTTTCTAGAATCGAATATCACGCTACTTTTTACGATAGGACTTTTTTGCGGAATTTCTATGTTACCTGAGTGTTCCACTATCCACGAGAGATGAGATATGATATTTCAGAGCAGACGAGTGGAAAATATCGATCAATGTGCACTCAGGGTTAATTCGCATTACACTTGATTTCGTATTCGTTATTTTTATAACGACCATATCTTTCTCATTATTTTCCTTTCTTTCATATTTTTTGGATATTATCACTAGAAATTATCATTAATCATTAATTAGAAATGATACGATTAGAATAATTTAAAAAATGATTTGACACGTTTAATAGAATCAAAA